TTATACAGAAGGCTGCAGTCAGCTCCAGTGTCAACCAGTATCAGCACATGCTGAACATTAGGAGGGACAATAGGTTGTTAATTCCACATGTGGCCTCCCATTCACCTGGGTCCCCCACAACTCAGTTCCTCAGCCTTTCCAGTAGTCTAATAGGGAAAACTCTTCTCTTGGAGCCCCCATGAAATCTTGGAGGCATATTGGGTGAATTGAGTTCTTTTCTCTCATGGGCATTTTCCAATAGTGCTGTCCAGTGGGCAGCTGTCACCTAACATTAACAGCACGTCATTGGCTGGTGATTGATTTTGTCCTTTCTTATTCCTGCCATTGGCAGGTCGATCCAAATTTATATCTGGGACTGTTTAATGACCCATTTCCTTGTTTGTCCCTCTCCCCGAGGCAGAATTTTCATTTGTTTGCCTTTACTTTTTTCCTAGCAGTTGTACCACCCTGTGATCCTGCTGCTTTATCTCTACACCATCTACATCTTTCCATAACATCGGTCACCTCACAAACATGGCGGTCAATATAGGTGGTTATTATGGCTGCAGAGACCCAAAGGCAGGAGGAGGTAAAGAGGCCAATTTTTCATTTGAGTGGTTAAGTGCTCAACACCAGTGCCCCTAGTATTCACATTAAACATACCCTGCCACATGGGCATTTATCTAATAATGTGAGCCAAGTCCACACGCATGGTCCATTTACTCACACAGTAGCCCTTAAGCACTCCATCAGGGAATGATCCCCTTGCAAGTCTCCAAGGCAATGGCTGATTTACAGACATTGTCATAGTAATGGGTGAAATGTAATGGAAGTTAATTTCTTCATTTCTAATGGGGACAACTGGAGGCTATCAACTCCATCACTCCACAAGCACAAAAGCCATACTTTCCTTGGTTCTCCTGGCCTCTGTCTGCTTGCTTCCCCAACTCCCTCTGCTTGGTTGGGGTGTAAGCAGTATTAGCAAATTCACTTCCTGAGGGAGGCCTTGTGGCCCATGTCCTGGGGCTATATGCTGGTTGAGCTCCAGCTGACACTTTCTCCCATGGTGGGCATGCAGAGGTGGCAGGGGCCCAGCTCTTCACCGGGTTCTTCCTCACTGGGCTGCTCACTTCCCATTCATACTCTGCCCTCTACAGACACAGCCAGTCCTGCTCCAAAGCCTGTGCCCAGATATTCAGCTGCATCTCCCCAGCACATAGCTCCTTTACCTGGGCATCACTGATATGGGTGTCTTTACACTGACACCTTAACACAGTGAGGAAGCCTTCATGCTGCCACCCTAACATGGTGAGCGACATCCATCCTGTCCACACAGCACTGGTCTGATCTCCTTCCAGCATTATGACTTCCAGGACATGCAAAGCCCATTTTACCTGTTTCCACTCCTGAAGAGGAGTCCAAGACATTAGGACCTCTGCCACAAGGTATTATGGTCCTATAAGAGGCCACATGTTCCCTGGCAGGAAATCCAAATACTGTGGACTGTGAGAGATGTCAAACCCATGCACAGTCATCAGGGATGCTGAGGCACTCTGGGCCAGATTCTGAAAGAACACTCCCAGAGCTGTAAGCAGATGCAGAGTCTTTATTCAGCCAGGAGCAGCACCAGCAGCACAGGTGACCTAGCAGAACAGCAGCATCCCACAAGGCTCTTTCTACGCAGGGTTACACAATAATGGCCATTAGCCAAGGAGGTACTTGGATTGAGATCCTGGCTCCAGACTACAGTCCTGGCTGAGGCCTGAACATCGCAGGCATTTAAATCGTAAACCATCAGATAAAATCACATGTGCATGCTCTCTCTCTCCTACACACTCTCTCAACTAAATAAAATTTTCAAAAGTTAAATGATAGTGGAAGAGGAAGCATCAAATCAATAGTGACGCTTATACAGCTTAGTGTGGTAGCAGTTTGTACTAAGGGAACTGCAATGGATTCCTTTGAAATTTCATAAATTATTGGACACTGTTATACCAAAATGCAGATATAATAGTACATATATTTTAGACTTTTTCTTGGGTATTCATTAAAATCTTGCAATCCACTGGTGAGCTTCAGCTTAATATATATCTGTTGCATCGGAAAGATCCACAGGTGTTTTTTTCATTTTTGTTATATTTACAATAAATTTAATGTATATACATAGCAAGATTTAAATCATGTATTTCCAGCCTCCTCTTGAGAATTACAATTGATTCAGACTGCTTAAATTTCTGATTTCCTAATTCTGTCCAGAATTTTGAATCTAAAATATTCATGACTTCCATATGAAATATATTTTGTACCAGTCTATAACCATCAGTGTGATGATATATTTATGATGTATTTACCAATTGATTTTCTTATACTTGTTGAAACAAATAATTATAAAAGTATTTTCATTATTTTTGAAGTATGTCTTAAATGTTCCTTTTTTGATTTATTGAACATCTATTAGTATTTTATTAGTAGAAACTATTTTTTGTTTTCATTCTTTTTCCAATGATATAAATTGTTTTTGTATTTTTAATTAAGATATATAGAAAATTTTTACTCCCAACAATCTTTCCCAAGGCATTTCAGAGTACATTGACACTCCATGGGTTCTCACCAAGTGTATCAGTGTGTATTTCCCAAAGCAGGGACAGTCTCTGGTATATACAAATGGTAATGACTGAAGTCAGGCAATTGGAACATGTTACTACTACTGGAGCCTCAGGACACTTCTAGGCTTTGCAGTTGTCTCAAAAATGCCTTTTATGGGTGCGAGCATTGTGGCATAGGCAGCTAAGCCACTACTTGCAACACTGGCATCCCTGTGGAGCACAGGTTCCAGTCCTGACTACTTTAATTCCAATCCAGCTTCCTCTTAATGAGCCAGTTAGGGCCACCCAAGTGAGAGACCCAAATGGAGGTCCTGGCCCCTTTCTCTGTGATTACTGAATGCTTTGGGACTTTGAAGAGAAGCAGACATGACTGCTTCCCATTGTACAAAGGGGGCTGATCTCTGGCACATGCTTCCCAGCATTGCCCAAACAACAACATGAAATGGCCACACAGCCGCCTGGTGTACCAGGTGTTTTTTAAAAATCCCCTTTTGCATACACTAGAGAGGCAGAGAGAGAGACAGAGGAACAACAGACAGACCTCTCATCCACTGATTCCTCCCACAAATGTTCAAAGTAGTCCCTGGTTGGGGCCAAAGCCAGGAGGTGGGGTCCCCAGCCAACTCCATCCTGTGTGTGACAGGAATCCAATAATTACTTGAGACATCTGCTGCCTCCCAGGGTCTGCATTACAGGGTTCATAGGAGCACGGTTGCAAAGTGAACCCAGGTGAACTCTAAGGTGGGACACGGGCATCTTAACCTCTGCACTAAAGATTCGGCTCCATGTTATGAGCTCCTAATTTGTTCCACCTGGCAAGGGAAGGATGCACTCCTGAAATGTTCTCACTTTCCTCCCTTGAGAGTGCTCAGGAACCATTCTATGGCTTCTCAGCTGTCTCTGTCATAAGAAATACAGACCCTGAGCCACAGTGGCTCAGACGCTCATGAGGCAGATGGAGTTCCTGGCCCAAGATGTAATATCTTTTTAAGAACCTTACTGGTCATCTCTGCCTTTCCCTTTCCAGGATTCCCCTGGTTAACTTCTGCTGTTTGACACAGCAGGGACTACACCCCTTGAGACAGCAACATCCTGTATCAGAGTGCCTGAGTTCAAGTCCCGGCTCCACGTCCAGGTGTAGATTTCTGCTAACACACACTTGGAGGCAGCAGGCAGCGGCTCCAGTTGTTGGGTCCTTTCCTTTCCAGGGTTTCTGTCTCTTCTTCTATTTAACGGGTCCACCGGCCTATTGCCTGGTGGTCGTAGCATTGCACTTGTCACGGGCATACCAGTGGATGGAAGATATCTCTCTCTTTCTCTCTCTCTCCCTCTCTCCTCTCTCTCTCTCTCTCTCTCTCTCTGTTTCTCTTTGTCTCTTTCTCAGCTTCTCAGAGACACTGAGTCAGTCCAGGGACATAAGTTTGGTTCTACAGTTGCCAACACTCCCCTTGGAGGGAGGCTTCCACCAGTTGTACACCACCATTGGGGCCTGGCTGGGATGTGGGCCACCTCCTACCCTTTGCTCAACAGTCAGGCAGCAAGGGGCCCAAGGCTCACTGCACTGTGCAGAAGAGAAACAGTGAAATTTCATAGTTCCCTGTGTGCTTCCTGTGATGATGTGCTGACAGGAAATGATCATTTTTTTTTTTGGACAGGCAGAGTGGACAGTGAGAGAGAGAGACAGAGAGAAAGGTCTTCCTTTTTGCCATTGGTTCACCCTCCAAAGGCTGCCACAGCTGGCACGCTGCGACCGACACACCGCACTGATCCGAAGGCAGGAGCCAAGTGCTTCTCTTGGTCTCCCATGGGGTGCAGGGCACAAGCACTTGGGCCATCCTCTACTGCACTCCCTGGCCACAGCAGAGAGCTGGCCTGGAAGAGGAGCAACTGGGACAGAATCTGGTGCCCCAACCGGGACTAGAACCCAGTGTGCCGGTGCTGCTAGGTGGAGGATTAGCCTATTGAGCCATGGTGCCGGCCCGATCATTTTCCTTTGTTTTGTAAACCAGTATGGAGAAAGACCCATGAAATTCAAGGGGACACATTAATATGTTGTTGAAAGTGAATATCCCCACTAAGATTCCAGAAGAGTCCCACACGCCTTTCTAATGACACTCCCTCACTGTCTTGAGAGATTCTCATGCTCATCTTGAGTATATGCATTCTTGCATTCACCTTAGAACTGCCTCCTTACTGTGCACTCCTAGCAGGTCTGCTTTAACCTGTACTCACATGGTATTGGACTATGTCTGGCTTTTTTCACTAGACTTGATGCATGTAGACACGTCCTGTGGCATAGGAGCAATCTTGACTACAGTTATCAGAAGACACCTAGAATTCCAGGTTCCAGTGTTATACTAATCCATGTATTTGTGAGGTTTAAAGATTATGGAGCAAAATATTCAACCCAAATAATTAACAAAACCAAACTTTAATATAAATGGGGTACTGGAATGAACAGAGTCAGGTTTCATGGTATCCACCAGAGGAAGTTCTTAGCACCTGAGAGGGAGACAGAAAGAAATCAAATGAGAGTCTTGGTCAGGGCCTGCTGCCAGCTGAGTCTGGAGGGACTGCTCAGCAGTGACAGAGACTAGGACCAAACTCAGCTCATCTGCAGGGCATGAGTTACTAAGAAAACCTAGAACCTACAAAACAATTCTAAGTCAGACATTCTGAAAACCATTTGACTTAATAGTCCAACAGAAAGAATACAGATTTTTTTCCCAAAACCCTCAAATGAGATATAAATACTTAAGAGTAAATAATTTGTTCAGCAACAAAAGTTTAGTAACAAAAGCTGGGGCCATGCCCCATCACGTGCTTCAGGCACAACAAGTGTCAGTGTCAGAAAGGGGGGCATAGCCTGGGACTATGAGGCCAAGACACACCAGCCACACTACAACTGTGCTGCAAACTCCACCATGGGTTCTGCCTCTGTCCATCCAGATATAGCCCAGGGGACAGCCTGCCACATCACCACCTTTCCCTGGGGAGTAACAGCAAGCAGGCCTGCATCATAGGAGTCCACTCGGGCACTTTGACAGGTCTGCAGCAAGATTCACATCTAAGGACTCACCCAAAAAGCCTCAGCACAGCAGATGGGCTGCTGGGTTTTTGCATGCAAGGCCTCAGCCCAGACCTGGGCTGGTGCTTCAGGCTCATCTGCCCAGTATCCACAGAGCAGGTAGGATCCATCATCCTTGAGGATAGGCACGATGACATCTGGCCCTTCCAGTGGGGGTGGATCTCCACACACCCTGAGGTGTGAATGCAGAGGGGAGGACGGAAGAGGTAGAAAAGATGAGGGCTTAGCACAAAGTCATTCAGTTCCAACCCTGTTCCACCAAACCTTCCTAGCAGTCTGAAAGGGTCTGTCAGCCAACAGGGAAAGGATCAATCTCTATGAGCCATCTGATCTAGATCCTCCCCTGGTGCAGACAAAGTGAGCCTTCACACAGATAGCTAAGACCCAGCAGGATGCAGAGAAGGATGGGACAGAAAGACAGAGGAGAGAAGGATGGCAGCCGAAGGGCAGAAGGCGCTGAGGATCAGAGGGTTCTGTGTCCCTCTCCCAGCCCCCTGGGACAGGAAAGGACAAGCTGAGCAGAAGCCTGTTTAGTTTCAGGGAGAAGAATCCCCTTGGTCTGGAATGCTCCCAACCAATGAAAGCAGTTTAACAACCAAGATGCCCTTGGCATTGATCCCATTTCACTAAGCACTGTGGAGAGCATTGGTGCATTGGACATCCCTGTCTTTATTGTTGTACTGCAGGGATGTGGATGAAGCACAAGCAGAGGGGCTGAGGGAGCTGCCAAACACTTTTTATGGAGGTGACATAAAAGTGTGGCATGAGGAATGACCTCGGCATGACTGGACCCCAGGAAAACTTATGTAGGTTCCAAAGAGGATATGTAGTTGGTGACCTGCACAGTGTTTGTGACCTGCCTCAGCACATGGGGCTTTCAAGACATGGTCCACAGTCTGTAGGATGAGATTTGAATGGGAAAAATGGCTCATGGGTCCCTTTCTCTCCTCCCGTGTCTGGCCATGCCAGATGTCCAGAGTAAAACACCCTCAACCCATCTGTAGATTTACCTCTGATTAGCCTCGGCCTGGTCTGCACGTGCCACCTTCCCTTCCTCCTCTTGTGATGAGGGCTCTTCCACTGCAAAGATGTGCAAATGGGGCAGGACATGGTAAATGAGATGACGAACAAAAGCGATGGTATATTAAAGCTCAGGTACCACCCACAGTCAACAGGGATATCTATGTTGTCCAGCTGTGGCACTACCTTGCTTAGCAACAGCTCCCAAACAGGAGGACATGCCTGTTTAGACAGGTCCTCTGCCCAATAGTGGAAATCTCCCTCCCTGCTGGGCGTGTGTCCTCTCACTCATTTGGCATCCTGATCTTCCAAAAGTGATCAGCTGCTCTCAATCCCATGGCTATATGTTGTAAGTTCCAGGTGTGTGTTACTTTTTTAAAGATTTTATTTATTTTAATTGAGAGTTAGGGTTACAGACAGTGAGAGGGAGAGACAGAGAGAAAGGTCTTCCTTACATTGGTTCACTCCCCAGATGGCCACAACAGCCAGAGCTGCGCCAATCTGAAGCCAGGAGCCAGGCACTTCTTCCTGTTCTCCCATGCGGGTGCAGGGGCCCAAGGACTTGGGCAATCTTATATTGCTATCCCAGGCCATAGCAGAGAGCTATACTGGAAGTGGAGCAGCCAGGACTAGAACAGGTGCCCATATGGGGTACTGGCACCGCAGGCAGAGGATTAACCTACTGCACCACGGCGCTGACACCCAGATGTGTTTTAAGTGACCAACCACACAATGGGGGCTCATCCAATCCTAAGCCATGGTGAGGGACTCCCAGACTCCTCCACCGTGCCAAAATATGAACATGTGAACCCTCAGGGCTCCACACACACAGGAGCCTTTTGGTGCCATGCTGACACTGTGGTTCTTAGTAGATCCTGAGAGGCACGAGCCAGCACAGGCAACCACAGGATGGAATCCTCAGTACATTCCCTAGGATTCCAGATGATGAGTGGAGTCAGAGCACCAGGCCAGGGTTATAGGAGTGCACTCAGGAGGTTTATCAGGTCTGCAGCTAGAGTCACATCAAAGGACTCACCGAGAATGGCCTCAGCACAGCAGATGGGCTGCTGGGCTGTAGGGTGCAGGGCCCCAGCCCAGGCCTGGACTGGGGCTTCAGGCTCATCTGCCCAATATGCACAGAGCAGGTAGGATCCGTCATCCTTGAGGATAGGCACGATGACATCTGGCCCTTCCAGTGGGGGTGGATCTTCACCCACCCTGAGGTGTGAATGCAGAGGAGGGGACAGGAGGAGAGGAAAAGATGAGGGCTTAACACAAATTCTTTCAGTTCCAACCCAGTCACACCAAACCTTCCTAGCATTTTGAAAGCATCTTTCACCCAATAGGGACAGGATCACCCTCTAAAAGCCTCTGATCTAGATCCTCCCTGCTTCAGACACAGTGACCCTTCACACAGATAGGGCAGACCCAGCAGGATGTAGAGAAACTGGACAGCAAGACAGGAGACAAGGAGGCTGTCAGTAGAAGGCCAGAAGTCTCACTGTGGAGCACAGGGCTCGCCGCCCCTCTCCAACACTCACCCCCCTTCCCCAGGGGGGACAGAAAAGGACAAGATTGCCAGAAGCCAGTTGTCTAGTTTCAGTGAAAGAGTCCCCTTTGGTGGAATTCTCACACCCTCCTAAAGCCCGTTAACACCACAGAGCACCTCAGGATGGTCCCCATTCCCTCAGCACTAAGGAGTGCATGGGTGCAGTGGACATTCCCTGTACCTACCATTGTACTGTGGGGTGGGGGGGCTGATGAGAGACAACCAGTAGGCTGAGCGAGTGGTCATTCTCTCAATGGGCCACAGAGAGTCAGTGGCATTAGGAATGACCTGGCCTGGTGACTTTCCCAGGGAAACTTCTGCAGCTGTCCAATGGAGGCTGGACATGGGGCTGACGTGGAAAGTGTTTGGGGCCCTCCTTAGACAGAGTCTACTTGGGAGGAACTTTGAATGCTATAAATGGACTCCAGTTGCACATTGTCTCCCACCGTGTCACAAATCTCCAGATATTCACACTAAAAAAAAAAAAAAAGAAAAAGAAAGAAACACCCCATCTGCAGATTTACCTGGGTGTGGCCTCAGTCTGCTCTGCAGATGCCACCTCTATTTTCTCCTTCTGGCTGGAGGCATCTTCCACTGCAAGGAGGGCAAATGGGGCAGGACATGGTCAATGAGATGGCATGCAAACACATTCTCATAGTAAAGCCCAGGTATCACAAATGCCCCACCAGCTTCTGAGGACGCCTATGCTGCTCACTTAGTGAACAGGTGTTAGCAACAGCCTCACTCCCAGGGGACATGTCTGCAATGGCAAGTCCTCTGCCTACCAATGGAGAGCTCCCTGCCTGTCTGGAGTGTGATAGCCACAGATCAGGCATCCTGATCTTCCATGACGGGCCAGCCGCTTTCACCACGTGGCTCCTTGGTCTATGTCTGATGTGTCACAACAGGGGGCTCATCCCCACAGCAGTCATTGGTGGGGGACTCCTGGGCACGTACACCCTGCCACAGTATGAACATATGAAACCCACAGAGCTTCACACACACAGGAGCCTTTTGGTGTCATTCACACAGTGGCCCTTAGTGGATCCTGAGAGGCATGAGGCCAGCACTAGCAACCTCAGCATGGAACCCTCAGGACATGGCTCAGGGTTCTAGATGAAGAGTGACATCAACACAATTGGAATGAGAGAGACAGCATGCCCAGTTCATCAGGATCTGAGAAAGATATCAGGCTGAGAAGGTAACCCGAGTAGAGCTGTGGTGGCAGGCATGCAGTGTAATGGCATCTAGGGCAAAGGCCTCAAGGGAAGCCTGTCACTGGCCAAAGGTGCCCCACTCTTCCATGTGTAGGCTAGAAGAAATCCTTGACACATGCAGGAGCACAGGCTGGGGCCCTGCCATCACACTTGCCTCTTATGCAGCAACATGGTCAGCTTGCTTGTCAGAAAACGGAGCATAACCTGGGGCTCTGAGGTTATGAAATACCTGCCTACACTACATCCCTGCTGCAAACTCCACCCAGGGCTCTGCTTAGTCCATCCAGAAGTAGCGCAGAGTTCCTGCCACATCACACCTTTCCCCAGGGGTATAGAGCAAGCAGGCCTCTGTCACTAGGGTGCACTCAGGTGGTTTGGCAGGTCTAGAGCAAGATTCCCACCAAAAGACTCACCCACAATGGCCTCAGCACAGAAGACGGGCTGCTGGGCTGTAGGGTGCAGGGCCCCAGCCCAGGCCTGGACTGGGGCTTCAGGCTCATCAGCCCAATATGCACAGAGCATGTAGGATCCGTCATCCTTGAGGATAGGCACGATGACATCTGGCCCTTCCAGTGGTGGTGGATCTCCACACACCCTGAGGGGTGAAAGCAGAGGGGAGGATGAGAGGATTGGGAAAGATGAGGGCTTAAACCAAAATCATTGAGTTCCAACCCAGTTCCACCAAACCTTCCTAGCAGTCCTTAAGGTCTGTCACACAATGGGGACAGGACCATCCACTAACAGCCATCAAGATGGATCCTCCCTTGATTCAAAGTGAGTCTCACAGGGACAGGGCAGACCCAGCAGGATGCAGAGAAGGTGAGACAGGAAAATAGGAGAGGAGTCTGTCAGCCCAAGGCCAGAGGGCCCTCTTACAGCATCCTGGGACAGAGAAGAACAAGCTGGCCAGAAGCCAGTTGTCTAGTTCCAGGGAAAGAATCCCCTTGGGGTGCAATGTTCCCACCCAGCTAAAGCTCTTCAGTACTCCAGACAGCCTCGGGATGGGTCCCATTTCCATCAGCACTGTGGTGTCATCATGCCCTGCACACTCCCTGTCTCACCATCGCACCACAGGGATGCTGATGAAGGACAAGCAGAGGGACCAAGGGAGAGGCCCTCACTTTTTAGAGAGGCCATACAGAAGCAGTGGCATTAGGAGTGACCTAGACAGGTGACAGGTTTTCAGGGAAATTTATACAGGGGTCCATTGAGGGTAAATGGGCAGTGAGCAGGACAGTGTTACAGTGCAACTCAGCACATGAAGCTTTCAAGAGGTGCATCCAGTCATTGTGGGAGGAAAACTGAATGATATAAATCACACAAAAGGCACATTCTCTCACCTCACGTCTGATATCTCCCCATGTCCATACTAAAACACCCTGAACACATCTGTCGATTTACCTGGAGGTAGCCTCAGCCCAATCAGCAGTTGCCAACATGACTTTCTCTTTTTGGTAGGTGGCATCTTTCACTGCAAAGAAATGCAAATGAGGCAGGACATGTGAAATGAGATGCCATGCAAATGCGATGGCCTAGTAAAGCACAGGTACCACACCATATTCTAGCATCTTCATAAGAAATGTGTGGTCACATGACCTTGGTCAGCCACTGCCTCACTCCCAGGAGGGCAGGCCTGCAATGGCAAGTCCTCTGCCTGACAATGCAGCCCTCCCTTTCTTGGGAGTGTTTCATCACACACAACAGGCATCATGATCTTCCACAAGTGGTCAGCTGTTTTCAATCATATGGGCCCTTGGCCTATGAATTAGATATGTTCTAAGAGACCAACCACACAATGAGAAGCTCATCCCATCCTACAGCCATGGTGGGAACTCCCAGGCTCACACACTCTGCTGCAATATGAATATGTGAAACCCTCAGAGCTTCACACTACTAAGACTTTTGGTGCCATGCAGACACTGTGTCCCTTAGTGAACCCTGAGAGGCAATAGGCCAGCACTGGCTACCACAGGATGGAGCCCTCAGGACATGGCCCAGGGTTCCAGATGAGGTATGACATCACCACAGTAGGAATAAGAGAGACAGTATGGCCCTGTTCAAAGGGATGTGATTAAGATCTCAGTTCAGCAAGGTGACCAGAAGTATAGCTGGCCTAGTGGGCAGACATTGTCTTTGCAAATTGCTGGGGCAGAGGTCTCACAGAGAAGCCTGCCACTGGCAAAAGGCATCCCACTCTTCCAAGAGGAGCCTTAGAAAAATACCTTGTTGCATGCATGAGCACAGGCTCATGGTGGATCGATGCCACAACATCTGCCTTGGGCACAGTGACACAGCTGGCTTTGGTGCCAGAAAGTGGAGAATAACCTGGGCTCTGAGGTTAAGAAACACCTGCCTACACTAAACAGTTGCTGCAAACTCCACACAAGGTTCTGCCTCAGTCCACCTCAATGAAGTCTAGTGGATAGCCTAAGATTTCAGACCTTTTCCAGAGTGTTGCAGAAAGCAGGCCAAGGGTTTATGGGTGTACTCCTGTGGTTTGGCTGCCCTGCACCAAGTTTCACATCAAAGAACTCACCCACAGTGGCCTCAGCACAGCAGATGGGCTGCTGGTGTTTAGGGTGCCAGGCCCCAGCCCAGGCCTGGACTGGCGCTTCAGGATCATCCATCCAAACTGCACAGAGCATGTAGGACCCATCATCCTTGAGAATAGGCACAATGACATCTGGCCCTTCCAGTGGGGGTGGATCTTCACACACCCCGAGGTGTGATGCAGAGCAGAGGCTGGGAGGGGTGGAAAAGATGAGGGCTTAACACAAGGTCATTCAGTTCCACCAACCCAGTCCCACCAATCCCTCCTAGCAGTCTGAAAGGGTTGTCACCCAAGAGAGACAGGATTATCCTCTAAGATCGATCTGATCTAAATCATCCTCTGGTTCAGACAACATGAGCCTTCACATGGACAGGGCAGACACATTAGAATGCAGAGGGGCTGGGACAGGAAGATAGGAGGAGAGGAAGCTGTCAGTAGAAGGCTTGAAGAAGGAGCACAGGGTGCTGGTGCCCACTCTCACAGCCCCCTGAGGACAATGAAGGACAAGCCGGCCAGAAGCAAGTTGTCTAGTTTCAGGGAAAAGATTCTCATTAATGTGAAATGCTCCAACCCAGGGAAAGTACTTCAACAGCCCAGACAACCCCAGGATGGGTCCCATTTCTGTCAGAACTGTGCAGTGCATCCCTGTCTTTATCATCTTATTGCAGGGTTGCTAATGAAGGAAAAGCAGAGGGGCTGAGGGAGTTGCCCTCAGTTTTTAGAGAGGCCACACAGAAGCAGTGGCACGAGGAATGACCTCAACAGGAGACTGGGCCCAGGAATATTTGTGCAGGTGTCCAAAGGAGGATAAGTGATGGCACCTGGCAGGATTTGGGGTCCACCTCAGCACATGGAGCCTTCAAGAGGTGCTCCAGAGCATTTGTAGGAAGAGATTTGAGTGGGGCAATTTCTCTTCTCCCACGTCTTCCATCTCTAGGGGTCCCTAGTAAAGTCCCCTCAACCCATCTCTAGGTTACCTCTGATTAGCCTCGGCCTGGTCTGCAGGTGCCACCACACCTTCCTCCTCTTGAAATGAGGGCTCTTCCACTGCAAAGATGTGCAAATGGGGCAGGACATGGCAAATGAGATGATAAGCAAATGTGAGGGCATGCTAAAGCACAGGTACCGCCTACTGTCACACCAGATTCCAAGGATATCTATGCTGTCTGGTTGTGGTACTATCTTGGTTAGCAACAGAACCAAACCATAAGGACATGCATGTTTTGACAAGTCCCCTGCCCAGTCCCCTGCCCAACAATGGAAATCTCCCTCCCTGTGTGTCAACTCACTCATCAGGCATCCTGATCTCCCACAGGGGTCAGCCACATTCAATCCACTGGCTCTCTTAGGTGTCTCAGTGTTCAACTGCACAATTAGAGGCTCATCTGATCCTGCAGGCAATGTGGGGACTCCCTGGTTACTATCCCCTGCCATAAAATGAACATGGGAAACCCATAGAGCTTCCCACACACAGGCGCCTTTTGGTGTCATACAGACACTGTGGTCCTAGTGGATCCCGAGATGCACGGGGCCAGCATTGACAACCTCAGGATGGAACCCCCAGTACATGGTTAAGTGTTCCAGAGGGGAAGTGCAGTCTCCACTATGGGAACAAGAGAATGAACAGCCCACTTGAAGAGCATCTGGTTAAGATCTTGGGCTGAGAAGGTAGCCAGGAGTCCAGATTTCCTGGGAGAAATGGCAGGGTCATGGCACAGGGCTGGGGCAAGAAACACCTGCCTAGACTACATCCATGCTGCAAACTCCACCCAGGGTTCTGCCTTAGTCCATCCAGATGTAGCCCTGGGGAAAGCCTACCACACCACCACCTTTCCCCAGGGGCTTAGAGCAAGCAACTAGGGTCATTGGGATGCTCACAGGCTTATCATACCTGCAACAAGAATCATATCAATGGACTCACCCAAAGTGTCCTCAGCACTGCAGATGGGCTGCTGGGTTGTAAAGTGCCAGGCCCCAGCCCAGGCCTGGACTGGTGCTTCAGGCTCATCAGCCCAATATCCACAGAGCAGGTAGGATCCATCTTCCTTGAGGATAGGCACGATGGCATCTGGCCCTTCCAGTGGGGGTGGATCTCCACACACCCTGAGGTGTGAATGCAGAGGGCAGGACAAGAGGGGAGGAAAAGATGAGGGCTTAACACAAAGTCACTCAGTTGCAGCCCAGCACTGCTAACCCTTCCTAGCTCTCAGAAAGAGTCTTTCACCAATAGGGACAGGAGCATTCTCTAAGAGCCATCTGATCTAGATCCTCCCCTTGTTCAGACAAAGAGACCCTTCACAGGATTGGGCAGACACAGCAGGATGCAGAGAGGATGGGACAGGAAGACAGAAGGAGAGGTCGCTGTCAATAGAAGGCCAGAAAGCATTCTAGGAGCAGAGGGCTCTGGTGTCCCTCTCCCAGACCCCTGGGGCCAGCCTCACCACATGGAACTTTGAAGAGGTACTCGCAGAATATTCATGGGAGGAGCTTTGAATGGTAAATATTGCTTATGGGGCACATTCTCTCCTCCCCATGTCTGCCATCTCCAGGAGTCCATAATAAATAACCCCCACCCCATCTGCCGACTTACCTGGGTATAGCCTCGGCCTGCTCTGCAGATGCTGAGTCCCCTTCCTCCTTTTTGCAGGAGGGCTCTTCCACTGCAGAGAGTGCAAATGGGGCAGGATGTGGTCAATGGGATGACATGTACATGAGATGGCATAAAGTAAGGCACCACCCACTGTCACACAGCTTCTGAAGACACCTATGCTGTCAAGTTGTGGAACTGCCTGTGTTAGCCACAGCCTCACTCACAGGAGGACAAGCCTGGAATGGCAAGTCCTCTGTCTAATAATGTAGCCCTCCCTCCCTACCTGGGAAGTTTTTCATAACACAAAACAGGCATCCTGATCTTCCACAAGTGGTCAGCTATTTTCAACCATATGTGTCCTTGGCCTGTGAGTCAGATATGTTCTAAGAGACCATACACACAATGGGAGGACCATCCCATGCAACATCCAAAGTGGGAGATTCCCAGGCACACACACTCTGCTGCAATGTGAACATGTGAATCCAACAGGGGCTCACAGCACTGAAGTCTTTCGGTGCCAGGCAGACACTGTGCCCCTTAGAGCATCCAGATAGACACGAGGCCAGCACTGACTACTTCAGGATGGAACCCTCAATACATGGCTGAGGATTCCTGATCTGGAATGACATCACCACAGTGGGAACGTGAGAGAGTGTGACCCTACTCAGCGGGATCTGGTGGAGATCTCAGGCTGAGAAAGTAGCCAAAATAGCTGTCCTGGCAGGCATGCAGTGTCTTGGTAACCAAATGGGGCAGAGGTTTCACAAGGAAGCCTGCACTGACCAAAGGCATCCCACTCTTCAAGTGGAGGCCTGGAAGAAAACCCTGTCACATGAATGAGCACAGGCTCCAAAGCCCGGGCCATGCCATCACACCTGCTTTGGGCACAGTGACATGGTCAGATTCATTGCTGAGCATGGGGCATAACATGGGGATCTCTGGTTAAATAACACATGCCTAAATTAGTGCAGCAAACTCTACCCCAGGTTCTGTCTCTGTCAATCTAGATCTGCCCCATGGTTCAGCCTACCCCATCACAATCTTTCCCAGCAGTGTTCAAGAAAGCAGGACAGGGTCACCAGGTGCACTCAGGAGGTTTATCAGGTCTGCAGCTAGAGTCACATCAAAGGACTCACCTGCAATGGCTTCAGCACAGCAAATGGGCTTCTGGGTTGCAAGGTGCCAGAGCTCAGCACAGGCCTGGACTGGTGCTTCAGACTCATCAGCCCAAAATCCACAGAGCAGGTAGGACCCATCATCCTTGAGGATAGGCATGATGACATCTGGCCCTTCCAGTGGGGGTGGATCTTCACCCACCCTGAGGTGTGAATGCAGAGGGCAGGACAAGAGGGGAGGAAAAAAGGAAGGCTTAACACAAAGTCATTCAGTTGCAATCCAGTCCCCCCAATCCTTCCTCCCCGTCCAAAAGTGTCTGTCACCCAACAGATACAAGATCATCCCTTAAGAGCCATCTGATCTAGAGCCTCCCTTGGTGCAGTCAAAGTGAACTGTCACATGGACAGTGCAGACCCAACAGAACACGGGGAGGATGGGACAGGAAGATAGAAGGAGAGGAGGCTGTAGGCAATTGTCAGAAGGCATGCTGAAGAGCAGAGGGCCCTGGGGCACCTCTTGTCAACCCCTGGAGACAGAAAAGGACAAGGGATGCTGATGAGGGACAAGCAGTGGGGCTGAGGGCGTGGCCCTTCACTTTTTAGGAAAAGCACACAGAAGCAGTGGTATTAGGAATGATCTAGATAGGTGACTGGTTTCCAGGGAAACTTATGCAGGTGTCCAGGGGAAGATAACTGGGCAGTGACCTGGGCAGCAGTACAGTGTAACTCAGCACATGGGGATTTCAAGAGGTGTGCCAGGTCTTCCTGGGGAGGAGCAATGAATGTTTTAAAAATCTCACAGGGCACTTTCTCTCACCCCATTTCTGCCATCACCAGATAGCCATACCATACTAAAAACCCTGGAGCCAGCTGTCAACTTACCTGGACATAGCCTCAGCCTGATCTGAGGATGCCCCCTTGACTTTCTCCTTTTTGTTTGAGGAGTCTTCCACTGCAAGGGAGTGCAAATGGGGCAGGGCATGGTAAATGAGATGACATGCAAATGCAACGGGCTAGTAAGGCACAGGTATCACAACTGTCCCACCATATTCAGAGTAAATCTGTACTGTCTGGTTGTGGCACAGCCTTGGATAGTGACAGCCTAATTCACAGGAGGACATGCCAGTAATGCTCAAGTCCTCTGACTAACAATGCTGCTCTACCTCCTTTTGGGGGAGTGTTTCACAACACACAACAGGAACCTTAACCTTCCCAATTGGTCAGCCATTTTCAACGTTTTGTGTCCTTGGCCTGTGAGTCAGATATGTTCTAAGAGACCAAACACACAATGGGAGGACTGTCCCACGCAACAGCCAATGTGGGAGACTCCCAGGCTCACACACTCTGCTGCAATATGAACATGGGAAACCCAAGGAGCTTCACACCACTGAAGTCTTTTGGTGCCATGCAGACACCATGCCCCTTAGTGAATCCTGAGAGGCTCGAGGCCAGCACGGGTAATTTCAGATAGAACCCTTAGTACATGGTCCTGGGCTTCAGATAAGGGGTGATGTTACACAAAGGAAATAAGAGAGACAGTGTGGTCCTGTTTAGGGGGGTGTGGTTAAGAACTCAGGCTGAGAAGGTAAGCCAAGACTACAGCTGTCCTGGCAGGCATGCAGTATCTTAGCCATGGTTGGGGCAGAGGTCTCACAGGGAAGCCTACAACTGGCCAAAGACATCCCACTCTACCAAGTAAGGCCTAGGAAAAAACCCATCCCATGCATGAGCATAGTATATATCACTGGATCCATGCCACCACACCTGCCTTGGGTGCTGACATGACCGGCTTTGGTGCCAGAAAATGGAGCATAACCTAGGGCTCTGAGGTTAAAAGACACCTGCCTGTAATACATTTTTGCTGCAAATTCCACCAAGATTCTACTTCAGACCATCTAGATTGAGCTAAGGGACTTCTTACCAAATCAGGACATTTTCTCTGGGGGTTAGAACAAGCAGGCCAGTGTCACTGAGGTACAATCAGGTTTGGCAGGTCTGAAGCAAGATCAAATCAAAGGACTCACCCACAATGGCCTCAGCACAGCAGAGGGGTTGCTGGGTTGTAAAGTGCCAGGCCCTAGCCCAGGCCTGGTCTGGTGCTTCAGGTTCATCTGCCCAATATGCACAGAGCATGTAGGACCCGTCATCCTTGAGGACAGGCACGATGGCATCTGGCCCTTCCAGTGGGGGTGGATCTCCACACACCCTGAGGTGTGAATGCAGAGGGGAGGATGGAAGAGGTAGAAAACATGAAGGGTTAACACAAGGTCATTCAGTTCCAACCCATTTCCACCAAACCATCCTAGCAATCTGAGAGATCTGTCACCCAATAGGGACAGGACCAACCACTAACAGCCATATGATCTAGATCCTCCCCTGATCCAAAGTGAGCCTTCATTGGATAGGGAAGACCCAGCAGAAGGCAGAGAGTATGGGACAGGAAGACAGAAGGAGAGGAGGCTGGCAGCCAACGGCCAGAAGACACACTGAGGAGCAGAGGGCTCTGGTGCCCACTCTCAAAACCCCCTGGGGACAGAGAAGGACAAGCTGGCCAGAAGCCAGTTGTCTAGTTGCAGGGAACAGAATCCCCTTGTCAGTGGAATGTTGCCACCCAGCTAAAGCACCTGAGCTCCCCGGACTACCTCAGGATGTGTCCTAATTACATCAGCACTGTAGCATGCATCCGGGCATTGGAATCCCTGTCTTATGAATGTAACACAGGGATGCTGATGAGGGACAAGAAGAGGGGCCGAGGGAGAGGCCTCTCACTTTAATGGAGGCCACACAGAAGCAGCGGCATTAGAAATGACCTGGACTGCTGACTCGTTCCCAAGGTAACTATGCAGGTGTTCAGTGGATGTTGGGGGGAGTTGACTGGACAGTCTTTGGGGACCTCAACAGCACATGGAGGTTTGGAGAGCTGCTCTCAGAGTCTCTGTGGGAGGAGTTTTGAATGGTATAAATGGCCCTTGGGGCACATTCTCTCCTTCCTGTGTGCAATCTCCAGATGTCCATGCTGAAACACCCTGAACCCATCTGAACGTTTACCTGGGGATAGCCTCCGCCTGGTCTGTAGATGCCAACTCCACTTCCTCCTTTTGGTGGTAGGGGTTTTCCACTGCAGAGAGTACAATGGGGCCGGATGTGGTAACCAGGATGATATGCAAATGCGATGGCACAGTAAAGCTCAGGTACTGCCCCCCATCACACAACTTAGAGACATCCATGCCGTCTAGTTGTGGCATTACCTGTGCTAAAAAGAGTGTCACGCCCAGGAGCACACGCTTCCAATGGCAAGTCTTTACCAACCAAAGGAGAACTCCCTCCCAGGGACTCTGAGGTTAAGAAACACCTGCCTACATGACATGTGTGCTGTAGCCCCACCCAGTGTTCTGCATTTGTCCATATAGATGTAGCCATGTGATTGCCTACTCATCACCTCCTTTCCTGGGGGGTTACAGCAAGTAGGTCAGAGTTATTGGGGTGGTCTCAGGAGGTTTGGCAGGTCTCAGCAAGATTCCCATCAAAGGACTCACCCACAATGGCCTCAGCACAGCAGATGGGCTGCTGGATTGTAGGGTGCCAGGCCCCAGCACAGGCCCAGATTGGAGCTTCAGCATCATCATCTGCCCAAAATCCACAGAGCATGTAGGACCCATCATCCTTGAGGATAGGCACGATGACATCTGGCCCTTCCAGTGGGGGTGGATCTCCACACACCCTGAGGTGTGAATGCAGAGGAGAAGACGAGAGGGGTGGAAAAGTTGAGGGCTTAACACAAAGTCACTCAGTTCCAACCCAGACCCACCTAACCTTCCTAGCATTCTGAAAGCATTTTTCATCCAATAGGGATGGGGCCATCCTCTAAGAGCCTTGTGATCTTGATATTCCTCATGTTCAAAAAGTGCCTTCCCCTGGATAGGGCTGACCCAGTAGAATGCAGAGAGGAAAGGACAGGAGATAGAAGGAGAGGAGGCTGGGAGCAGAAGGCCAGAAGTCACACTGAGGTCAGAGGGCTCTGGTGCCCCCCCTTACAGCTCCCTGGGGGACAGAAAAGGAGGACACACTGACCAAAAGCCAGTTGTCTAGTTTCAGGGAAAAGAAGCCCCTTTGTGTGGAATGCTCCCAACCACCTAAAGCACTTTGGCACCCCAGACCACCTTAGTATTGAGTCCCATTTCCTGCAGCACTGTGGAGTGTATCCATGCACTGGACATTCTCTATCTTAATTACTATACTGCAGGGATGCTGATGAGGGACAAGCAGAGGGCCGAAGGAGGGGTGCCTGACATTTTATTGAGGACACACAGGAGCAGGGGCATGAGGAATGACCTGGACAGTTAAATGGCTCCTAGGGAAATTTAGAGAGGTGTCTAATTGAGGTTAAGGGGGTGGTGAACTGGACAGTGTTTGGGGCCCACCTCAGCACATGGATCTTGCAAGAGGTGTTCCCAGAGATTTCATGGGAGGAGCTTTGATGGTATAAATGACTCATGGGGCACAGTCTCTCCTCCCTGTGTCTGCAATCTCCACATGTCCATACTACAACACCCTCAACCCATCTGTAGATTCACCTGGGGTTTGCCTCGGCCAGGTCTGGAGATGCCACCTCTCCTTCCGCCTTTTGGCTTGAGGCATCTTCCACTGCAAAGGAAAGCAAATGAGATGGCATCTACCAAAAAGAAATCCCTCCCTGTCTGAGGAGTGTGACACCCCACACATATCATTCTGACCTTACATACAGTCAGTCACTTTCAACCATGTCAGTCAATGGCCTTTTTGTCTGAATGTTTTAAGAGACCAACCACATGATGGAAGACTTGTCCCATTCAACAGCCACTAGAGTGGGGCTCCCCAGCTCATACACTCTGCTGCCATATGATCATATGAATGCCATCGAGCTTCACACACACAGGAACCTTCTGGTGCCATGCAGACACTGTGCTTCTTGGTGGATCCTGAGAGACACGAGGCCAGCACCAGCTACCCCAGGATGGAACCCTCAGAACATGCCCAGATTCCAGATGAGGACTGCAGTCACCACAAAGGGAACAAGGGAAGGAATGGCCCAGGTCACGGGCATCTGGTTAAGGTCTCAGGCCAAGAACATAGCCAGGACTATAATTGTCCTGGCAGGCATGCAGTATCATGACACATAGCTGGGACAGATGTCTCACAGGAGATCCTGGCACTGGCCAAAGGCATCCAGCTCTTCCATGGGTAGGCCTAGAATAAACCTGTCATGTGTATGACTTCAAGCTGGGGCTATGCCATCACACTTGACTCTGGTGCAGCATCTTGGCTGTTTCAGTGCCAGAAAGGAGAACATAACCTGGGACTCCAAGGTTAAGAGACACCTGCCTACAATTATTTTGTTCCCCTTCACCCAGGGTTCTGCCTCTGTCCATTCAGATGTAGCCATGGGACAGCCACATCACCACTTTCCCTGGGGGAGTTACAGCAAGCAGGCCAGGGTTATTGGGGTGCACTCAGGAACTTTGGTAGGGCAACAGCAAGATTCAAATCAAAGGACTTACCCACAATGGCCTCAGCACAGCAGATGGGCTGCTGGGTTGTAAGGTGCCAAGGCTCAGCAGAAACCTGCGCTGGTGTTCCAGACCCATCAGCCCAATATCCACAGAGCATGTAGGACCCGTCATCCTTCAGGATAGGCAGGATGACATCTGGTCTTTCCAGTGGGGGTGGATCTCCACACACCCTGAGGTGTGAGTGTAGAGAGGAGAGGAGGGTAGAGAAGATGAGGGCTTAACATAAAGTCATTCAGTTCCAACCCAGTCCCACTAAATCTTGCAAGGAGTTGAAAGGGTTGTTACCCAACAGGGACAGGATTATCCTCTAAGAGCTATCTGATCTGGATCATCCCCAGGTTCAGATAAAGTGAGTTTTCACATGGATAGGGAAGACTCAGTAGAACTTAGGGACGACTGCACAGAAAGACAGAAGGAAGGCTGGAAGCCATGCCGAGGAGAAGAGGGCTCTAGAACCCATTCCCAGACCCTGGGGACAGAAAAGGACAAGCTGGCCAGAAGCCAGTTCTCTAGCTTCAGGGAAAAGAATCAGCTTTATGGAATTCTGCCACCCAGCTAAACTACTTTAGTATCCTCAACCACCTCGGGATTGAGTCTCACTTCTGTCAGCCCTGTGGAGCGTGTCGGTGCATTGGACATTCCCTGTCTTTACCAACATACTGCATCAATGTTGATGAGGGACACTTTTATTTTTATTTATTTATTTATTTTTTATTTTTTGACAGGCAGAGTGGACAGTGAGAGAGAGAGACACAGAGAGAAAGGTCTTCCTTTGCCGTTGGTTCACCCTCCAATGGCTGCCGTGGCCAGCGCACCACGCTGATCTGATGGCAGGAGACAGGTACTTATCCTGGTCTCCCATGGGGTGCACGGCCCAAGTACTTGGGCCATCCTCCACTGCACTCCCTGGCCACAGCAGAGAGCTGGCCTGGAAGAGGGGCAACCAGGACAGAATCCGGCACCCCGACTGGGACTAGAACCTGGTGTGCTGGCGTCGCAAGGCGGAGGATTATCCTAGTGAGCCGCGGCGCCGGCAAGGGACACTTTTAATGGAGGCCGCATGAAACAGTACATTAGGAATAAACCGGACTGGTGACTGGTTCTGTGAGAAATTTATGCAGCTGTCCAATGGAAGTTGGAGAGAGGTGGCTGACCTGAACAGTGTTTGAGGCCCACTACAGCACAGGGAGCTTGCAAGAGTTGCTCCCAGAGTCTTGTGGGAGGAGCTTTCCATGGTATAAATGGCTCACAGGGCACGTTCCCTCCTTCCAGTGTTGCCTTATCCAGATGGCCATGATAAAACACCCTCAACCCATCTGTAGACTTACCTGGGGATAGGCTCGGTCTGGACTGCAGTTGCCACCTCCCCTTCCTTCTTTTTGTAGGAAAGGTCTTCCACTGCAAAAAGGGCCATTGGGGCCAGATGTGGTAAGTGCGATGACATGTAAATGAGATGGCATCATAAAGCTCAGGGGCTGCCCACTGTCACGGAGCTTCCAAGGACACCCATGCTGTCTGGTTGTTTCACTGCCTATGCTAATAAGAGCCTCACACCCATGTGGACATGCCTGCAGTGGCAAGTCTACTGCCAACCCAAGGAGAACTCTCTCCCCATCTGGGGAGTGTGGTATCCCACACTTTAGGCATCCTGATCTTCCACAAGGGGGAAGCAGCCATCAGCCATCTGGGTCCTCGGTCTATGTGCTCTAAGAGACTGACTGCACAACATGGGGCTAGTCCCAGGCTCATATGAGCACCCTGCCACAACATAAACATGTGAAGCCCATAGATGTTCACACACACAGGAACGTTTTGATTCCATGTAGCACTGTGGCACTTAGTGGATCCTGACAGGTCAGCAGAGGCTACCCCAGGGTGGAACCCTCTGCACATGGCCCAGGGTTCCAGATGAGGAGTGATGACAATAGAATAGGAATGAGAGAGACAGCATGGCCTAGTTCAGGGGCATCATGTTAGGATCTCAGGCCGAGAAAGTAGCCATGATTACAGTTCCCATCAGGCATGCAGTGTTATGTCACATGGTTGGGGCAGGGGTCTCACAGGGAAGCCTGCCACTGCCCAAAGGCATCCTGCTCATCCAATTCACAAGCATGAGTGAGCACAGGCTGCATAGCTGGGGCCATGCCATCACTCTGGCCTCTGCTACATAGACATGGATGGGTCCAGTGCAGGAATACAGAGCATAATCTGGGCTCTGAGGTTAAGAAACACCTGATGACACTACATCTGTGCTTTGAACTCCATCCAGGGTTCTCCCATAGTCCACTCAGATGTAGCCAGGGGACAGCCTCTCACATCACCACCTGTCCTTGGCAGGTTAGATCAAGCAGTGCATTGGGGTGCACTCAGGAGATTTGGCAAGTCTGCAGCAAGAGTCAAATCAGAGGACTCACCCACAATGGCCTCAGCACAGCAGATGGGCTGCTGGATTGTACATTTCACAGTCTCAGACCAGGCCTGGGCTGGTGCTTCAGGCTCATCAGCCCAAAATCCACAGAGCAGGTAGGATCCATCTTCCTTGAGGACAGGCACGATGGTATCTGGCCCTTCCAGTGGGGGTGGATCTCCACACACCCTGAGGTGTGAATGCAGAGGGGAGGACGGAAGAGGTAGAAAAGATGAGGGCTCAGCACAAGGTCATTCAGTTCCAACCCAGTTCCACCAAACCTTCCTAGCAGTCTGAAAGGGTCTGTTAATCAAAGGGACAGGACCATCCTCTATGAGCCATCCAATCTAGATCTTCCCCTTGTTCAGACAAAGTGAGTTTTCACAAAGATAGGGCAGACCCAGCAGGACATAGAGAGGGTTAGACAGAAACACAGGAGCAGAGGATGCTGTCAGCTAAAGGCCAGAAGGCACATCAGGAGCAGAGGGCTCTGGTGCCCCTCTTCCAGCACCCTTGGCACAGGAAAGAACAAGCTTGCCAGAAGCCAGTTGTCTAGTTTCAGGGAATAGAATCCCCTTGGCGCTCAATGTCCCAATGAAGCTAAAGCACTTTTATACCCCAGACCACCTTGGGACTGTGTGCCCATTTCTGTGAGCACTGTGGAGTGTGTCAGGGCAAGGATATTCCCTGTCTTTGTCATTGTACTACAGGGATGTGGATGAGGGACAAGTAGAGGGGCTGAGGGAGTGGCTCCTCACTTTATGAATGCCACACAGAAGCAGTTCATTCCCAGGGGAACTTATGCAGTTGTCCACCGAGGTTAAGGACACAGTGTTTGGGGCCTGACTCAGCACATGGATTTTCCAAGAGGTGCTCCCGGAGTCTTCATGGGAGGACCTTTGAGTGGTATAAATGGCTCTCAGGGCACTTCTCTCCTCTCCGTGTCTGCCACCTCCACATGTCCATACAAAAATACCCTCAGCCCATCTGTAGATTTACCTGGGGATAAGCTCAGCTCTTTCTGCAGATACCACTTCATCCTTTTGGGAGGAGGTATCATACCCTGCAAAGGAGAAAAATGAGCAGGAAATGGTAAATGAGATGACATGCAAATGCTATGGCAAAGTAAAGTACAAGTACTGTGCAATGTCCCATTAGCATCTGAGGACTTCTATGCCGTCTGCCTGTGGCACTGCCTCTGTTAGCAACTGTCTCATTCCCAGGAGGTCATGCCTACAGTGGCAAGTCCTCTGTCAATAAATAGAGACCTCCTTCCCTGTCTGGGTAGCATGTTATCCCACACAATAGGCATCCTGATGTTCCACAAGTGGTCAGCCACTTTCCTCACTAAGGGTCCCTGGCTATGCGTCAGGTGTGCTCTAAGAGATTAAATACAACATAGGAGGCTCATACCAACTGCCTCCCCCCTGTACATCAACTAATGGGAGCTATGGGCTCTAAGGGTCAAATGCCTTAGGGTATTTGGGATGGACAAGTGTAACCCACGAGTCTCCCATTCATGGGAGTCCTTGCAGTTATGCAGGGTTTGCAGGGTTTGCAGGGTAGCCTGATAGGCATGAAAATTACACTGGATGCTTCAAGATGGAACTTCAAGACATGGCCAAGGGTTCTACATCAGTGAGGTGTGAAGTCAACATGGAAGACAGAGTATAGACTGGTTCAGGGAGACCTGGGTAAGATCATGTGCTGAAAGCTGGTCATGATGGCAGCTACCCTGGCAGCCATGCAGTGTCATGGCATGTGGCTAGGGCAGAGATCTCACAAGAAAGACTGCCACTGCACACAAAAACAATTCCATTATCCCAAGTGGAGGCCTGGCAGAAACCATGCCACATGCATTTTAAAGGCTCCATGGCCACTGCAGGTGCCTCAGGCAAGGAGACCCAACAGGGACTTTGAGGCCAAAGGTGTTTGTGACCCAGGGATACGAGGCTAACACAAAGGTGTAGACCCATGCTATCTTTATGTTGCAAACTCCATCCTCACGTCTGCCTCCATCCATCCACATGTGCCCTTAGGATTTCCCACCACATCACACCTTTCACCAGAGGGCCAAGGATGTTATGGTGAATGCAGGAACTCCAGAAGGGCTGCAGCAAGATTCCCAGTGGGACACTCACCCTCAATGGCCTCTATCCAGTGGATGGACTGCTGGGCTAAGGGCTGCTGGACCCTGGCCCAGGCCTGGAACAGTATTTCCAGCTTGTCCCCCCAGGAGGCATGCCACATGTAAGATGCATCTGCAAGGTGTGTGCGTGCCATGATGCGATGCCCTTCAGCTAGAGATCGGTTTTCACACAATCTGAAGTGCAAATGTAGAGGGGAGATGGAAAGGATGAGGGTTTAACACACAGGCATTCCTATCCACCCCAGTCCCACCTGGCTTTCCTAGCAGGAAGAAAGGGTCTGTCACTCATTGAAAACATGCCATCATCTAAGAGCCATTGGACTGTGAACTTCCCATTCTGAGACAAAGTGAGCCTTCACGGGGAATGGACAGACCCAATAGGATGCAGATTCAATGCAGGACTCCTGGCCCCATTTCCTTCAGCACTGGGGCATGACCCAAGACATTGGCCACTTGCGTCCTTATCAAAGTCCCATGGGAACACTGAGGAAGGAGAAGCAGAGAGGCCTAGGGAAGGGCTCCCCAATTTTTATGGAGGCCACACAAGCTGTGAAAGCAGCAATGACCTGGAAACATGACTGGATCCCAGGCCACCACATGCAGATGTCCAATGGAGGTGGGAGGTGGGGATCCACCTCAGCACATGGAGAAAAGTGGAGCTACCAGAGTCCTCAGAATGAGCTCTGAGGGGGTAATTACTCCGTGGGGCCCATTCTCTCCTCCCCATGCCTTCTACCTCCAAATGTCCATACCAAAGAACCCTCCATCCATCTGTAGACTTACACAGGTTTGGCTTCATGTGGCACTCTGTCCTCAAGGGAATTCCCATAGACTACAATAAAATTTAGATAGGGAAGTTGCTGTGAGACAAAGAGCCCAATCACAGGTCAGAACATCCCCAGAGGCCCAGGGAGATGCCTGCTGACAGCTGTCTTGGTGGCCTTTGCCCATTAACAGGGGACCACTTCTCTCTTCCAGTCTGCCTGCCTCCTGCATATCAGGCATCCCCAAACTCCAAAAGGGATCAGCTGCTGTTTGGCCCTGTGGGATCACTGCAAATGGCCCAGCTGGTTTCTTCCTCAACAGCTACCCTAAAGAGCCTCTCCACAACCAACAGCCAGGCCTTTGTGGTTCTCATGTTGCAGTGTGCCATAGATTGGATGGGGAAAGCCCTGGAACCTATTCCCATAGGGGTTTTTAGGGTCATGAACACACCCCAAATGTTAGGGACCTGTGAGAGTCATAATGATCGGACTGGTTCCCTCCACATGGCAATCAGTGGTATGGCCAAGGGCTCTAGATAAGGAAAGAGTGACATCAACTCAATGTGGGAGAGTGACATGCTGTGTCTCAGTTTAGAGGTTTTGGGTCTTTCGTGAGATCACAAGTGGAGAGGGTAGCTTTGATGATAGTGGCCCCTACAGGCAGTGTGTCATAGCATGTGACTGGGACAGGGATCTCACAAGGAAGACTGCCACTGGCCACTTAGGATCCACTAGTACAAGTGTAGGCTTGGAACACACCATGCCATGTGCACAGGGCTGGTGCACGCCACGCTGGGATCCACAGACTGCTGCCATGTTGTCCCCCCTGCTAGAGGAGCTGCAGCACAGCAGCGTGCTGAGGAAAACCACCCTTTGGGGAAGCAGAGCTACTGGGTGAACACACAGGTGTAGACCCACATGACATCTTTGCTTCAAGCTCCCTCTGGGGGTTCTTAGGCTTTCCTTTCTAGTCCAACTAGAGCAGCCCATCCATTGCCCAACCACGCCAGGGTCTTTGTGAGAGCAGGGCAAGTATGCTGGGGTTTACTCCTTACCCTAAGTGGCACTGGAAGCACCCCCCCAGTTGGTGTACTCACCTCCAAACCTTGTGCACCACGAGTACTCTTCCAGCACTATCATCCAGCCACCACCAGGATAACGCTGCTGCATAACCAGCTTGGCTTTCATGACGATGCACCAACAATATTCACCCATGACCAGCCCTGGTACCAACTCAGGCTCTACTTGAGGTGGAAAGCACCCACTGATCCTGCTGGATTAGGAAGGGTGGAGAAGTTATCATGGTAGTTAAGGTACTAGAGGGCCCTATCAGGCCTGCATCACAGGCAGGTTGATTCTGCCACCAATGAAAATGGGCCTTTCAGCTAACAGCTGTCTGAGCAGGATCCTCCCCTTGCTGAGCAAAGTGAGGAACTGCAGGACGTGGAGGCACAGCACAAGATACAGGTGGAGGCACCAGAAAAAGGATGGAGAGATGGTGTTGGAAGATGGCCAGGATTCCGGCTGAAGAACAAAGAGCTGTGATCTCAGTAATGGAATCCTCATGACACCCAGATACAAGCAGAACAAATAGTGTTTGTCACATTCGACAAAATCAGTTGAATATTACTAATCTCAGGTGTGGTAATGTACCTGCTACAGCACAGTGGGCTTCTAGTTCTGTGGCCACCCTGCTGGCTTTCTCAACATTTTGGTATGGTATTTTCCCCTGTACTTCTTTCTATCAGCCATCTCCATAAACACAGAGATGAGAAAAAAAAAGAAGATAAGGAACCCTGTCTTTTAATCTATGCACAACAGAAGTAATAACTGCAGGAGACCCCTGTAAAGTCCAGTTGATCTGAAGCAACCTAATGGAGACCACATGGGTGTTTGAGGAAGAAATGGCAATCTCTATGGGTGCCAAAATGATTACAATAATACTCTTCATAGAGAAACAGTGTGATCACCTAGGGTGTGTGAAATCCTTCCATTCAGCATATTCAGTTTCTCCCTAAAATATGAGTCCCCAGATGTCAATATCAATGAAATATCCATGATTCCTTAGTCTTACCTGGGGCAGATTAAGTCCCAGCAACCACCCTTCATTTGCATCATTTCTTTTGCTGCAAATAAATTCCAACAGGGACGGTCAAATTAGGGAGGTCCTAGTACATGTGCAATCCAGTTCCCAACAATGACACAGTAATACCCATAAACTCTATTTGACAATGGCATACTGTGAGAGAAATACTTCATGTGCTGACCCTTTGAGGAAAACCTTCTTGGCATGAAAATCAATATCCAGACCTCTTTGTCTTGAAAACAATGAACCTCATCTTTTCCCCGCTAATTCTGGGAAACTACCCTATCTGCATTCTAAAAGAATTAAAAGTTATTCACTTTTCTCCTGTTAGAATGCCAGGATGTAGATGATTTAGAGGAATCTATACACTGAGGTGAGACTGAGGATGAGATATATTCAATTTCTTCTCAAGATTAGTCTTCGATGCTTCACAGAAACAGTTGTCATTCATGACCACTACGAGCTACAGTGGTCATTGTTGTCTCTGGAAATCTTGGAGTATGGGAGTGGCTTCAATGTTTATGTCCTAGGTTTAGATGGATAATGAGCTGGAAGAAGAGAACTTAAAAGATACAGAGGATGGGCTATGTTTGGAGAAATGTGGGTTATGTCTGCAACAGAGATGTAGACAAGATGCCTCTGGCAGTGTGCAAGCATAGATCGTCAAGAGACAGGTTCTACTGCCTCAAGTATATGTAACAGTGCCACATGGCAAAGGCTGTGTCTTATTTAAAATACATGTGTAATTGTTCCTAATGGCAATGCCACAACTGCCAGGCAAATGTTTCATGGGCCCACTCCATAGAAAAGGAAACAGAAATACAGAAATCAACGATCTTTCTACAATCAGTGAAAACAGTGCTGAGGACACAGGTGGGCCCTTTCACTCTCAGCACAGGGCTCAATCTCCCTCTTACAAGCCACCACCTGTCCCAACCTCCTTCCTGTCCTTTCAAACTGGATGGATACTGCATCTTGATCAAAGGCCACCTGCACTGGGGAAAATGGAGACTTCTGAAATGCTAGGAACTTCAAGCCTGTGTGTTTCTCACTCTAGTTCTCATCCAGAATTCCTGATCATGTCATGGCCACAGATATTTCAATGAAAACAAGGTAGCAGGAAAATGTCTCCTGCAGGGAAGTGGAGTCTCCTGTAAATTTGAGACTTTCTGAAATCATAGCCTGAGGTCCCCTTACCCAGGCTACATTTGTAGACAAGATGCTTTTCCAGCCTGATGTGAACAACCAGTGGCTCCAGCAAGCCCCGTGTGTAGTGGCTGTCAGGGTCATGCTGGGTGAGGAGGGCTCTGGGATGTAGGCTGAGATGACAAATCTGTGTCTGTTTTCTTGACTTCTTACGTAGCCGGCGCCGCTTGCGGGTGCGTGCCTTATTTACATGGCATTTCCTAAGGTAGGACAGGAGAGAAAATGTAAGGATAGAAATATGTGCATGATACCATCTCTGTATTTCAACAGACTTCATGGAGAATTCTCTCACAGAGCCCTGCAAACAGCAGCACTGACAGGTTCGGGAAAATGCTTGTGGTGAAGAAGACAAAATGAGAGCTTCCCCTGTGTTAGAGGGTGACCCTGTGTTCAGTCCACATTGCCAGGACTCTTCCTTCACTCCCTACACACAGCAGCTCCTTTAGCTGCTAACTTCAACCACAGGCATTTCCAAGTAAAACACATAGCCCAATGTGCAGTGACAACACCAAGGTGCACTCAGATGCATGTCCCTTGTTACTGGTGTTCTTCAGAAAGAAATGAAAGGCTGGCAGGGTCAATCTTAGACAATATCCCCAATCAGGAGGTGATGGTGATCTAGAGAGAATGACACGGTGATGACAACACATCATGTGCATACCACGCCATGCGTTGCTCACTATCCTCTGTTTGGTTAGTTATGAGAATTTGAACTCAAGAAATTCCTTGTTTTTTGAAAGAGGAAAGGAGGCTTTGATAAGCACCACAGCCCATCATGTAGTATTTTCATTGTTGTGCACATGTTTTATAAATATTTATGAGATAGGTCCCCAACATGTAAATTCCTGCCCTTCTCCTGATCCAAGTCTGTTTCCCCAGCTAAGCTGGCCCACTTCACTGATACCACATATATCTTCCTCCTGCTTGCAATGCCCGAAGCCCCACTTACTTGAACTCAGCAGGCACCAGCTTCTCAAGCTGTGGAGTTCCAAGTGCTGGCTTCTCCCTTAGCCTGGATTGAATCACCTCTTGGCCCTCACCATAATCTGAAACAGACACACCTGCCTCAGTGGACAGCTGGACACACAGCCGAGGTCACTGTCTCTAGGAAGGAGCCACTCTAGTACCACGCTCCAGGTAAGCATTTCTTCATCTTTGTCTCTCCACCTCCCAACAACAGGATATCTGATAATCCCCCATTTAGAGTGAACAGTGTTCCAAGGTGAATGATGATCTGACAAGGCAGTTCAACTGGTATTTGACAGAATCAGAATTCTCTTCCACTAAGCTGTGACTGAATCATGGCAGTGTAGTTGGCACACCTTGCAGGTATTTAAGTCAAGCACTAAATTGTAGCATGAAGCAGTGACCTCCAGTATGGTTGGTAAAGTACACTAGCACTGGGGATAGTGGTTCTTCTATGCTGAGAAGTTCAACTTTCATGTTTGGGGAGTTTCCAAAGACAAAATCACAGCTAAGTAGAATTGTGTAAAAACAGAGTGCTAAACACCCACAGGCCCTGAAAGAAATATACACACCTACTAATACAGCTCCTGTTAAATTAGAAAAAAAATGAAAGGAATGAATAAATCTACTCCAGGCCAGGAATCACCTTACATATTGTACAAAAAATATATCCCATATTTCATGGCAACAATTTACAGAGGTAGGAATTATGACAGCACTTGTGGGAACTGAGGAGGGGTCTAAGGCATGCAGAGATTGGCAAGTTGGAGAAAAGCCCAGGGAGGGTCTCAGAGTCCCTGCTCTACATTCTGCTCTGTGCTACCACAAAGACTCAGGAGCCTTCTCCTCTTCGAGAAGAGCTTTTGTTCCATGAGTGGGTTTCCCCCTGACCACGGGCAGTCCCTGGTCTAGACAATGTCATTTACAAGTACCACAATGTCAGCACAGACTCCATTAGCACCTATAACAGAGATCTTTGTGGACTCTTCACATTTCTCTGTGTGACCAGCCCAAGGATTTCGCCAACTGGAACTCAAAAGAAGCTTGAATTGAGTAGAAGTTCATTAGTCCCCACACATGAAACCCACACCAGCTGGTACAGGACAAAGAGGTTGCCAGTTAACTGACATCTCACCCCACACTTAAAGGAAACATGGAAAGTTGTTGAACTAGTGCCTTGGTTATTCCAAATTGACATGAAAATAGCTTATACAGTTCTCAGAGTATTGTAACAATGGATTTTCTTAGGATAAAGGGAAGAACCAAACCTAGAAAGCCTTTATTTTCTCAGAGGGACAAAATCATCATTTACCACTTTAGTGAGAGGACCTATGGAACTCACTGTTTTCCTCTTGGTGGAGGATGAAGCTGAAATGATGAACTATCTCTTTCAGATCTTGTATTTCCCGCTGGTTCTCTGCTAGTCGGCAATGCAATGCCTGGTTACACGCAATCATATTATTTTTATTGGCTGGATCGGATGAAGGGCTCAGTGGTACTGCCATTCTGATGGTTCTGGCAGACCAGGGGGCTCCAGAGACTAGGTGGAAGATACCCAAGAACAGAATGAGTTACAACAAATGACATTCAATAGCTCTAATGAGGGCTGGGGGATGACAACAGCCATATTTCTGAACTTACTGTTGGGAAACACCCCACAGAACTTCAAAGTCTTCAATCAAAATCCTGTCACTATTAAGTGATCAACACTCAGCTTTTAAGCGACTTCTTATTACTCAGTCACTGTCACAAGTGAGAGAACGAACTCCCTGCTTGCCAGCTTGCCAAGTAACTGTTGGAAGTAGCAATAGCAGAATGAGAAGATGGCCGGTACTGGAATGTTAGGAGTTGTTGACTTCCTGTTGCCAAGGATACCTGGTCCCTTCTTAAAGGCACACCAACTCATTCCTCATTCTCAGGAGCAGCGCGCCCAGTGCTGATTTTAAACACCTGCATTTTCCACTAGGAAAATCTAAGCACATTTCCCACTCTCCCTCCCTCCCTGTGGTGGAAAACACTAAGGAAGAATTCATTTCCAAACAAGTGTTATTTTCTCAAAGCGCTCTCAGGAAGTCACTCACCCTGCCTTTCTGTTAAAATGGGTCTCCAGGCTTTTCCTCCAGGGATACATGTCACATGATAAACTACCAAGATGTTCTTCTCTGGGTTTCTGCAAGCCTTTCTATAGCCATTAAATAGTGTAGGGTCAGAAAGCAGAGTAAAGCATGTACAGAATGAAAAAATAATTTGTGTCCCGTCCTGTCTCAAAATATTTTTGGCTCTACTCAGTGTTGTAATGGCTTCTCTTCCCTCACATAGGCAGCATGTTGCCATTTCACACTACTAAAATCAGTTAGACCTCCTGACATCCTAAGTCCTTCCTCAGACTTTGGGGGCATTGTTTTGTTTTCAGTGTCATTAAATACAGCATTTCCTACTTGTCACTTGCATGTTTTGTTCTAAACCCAAAAGAGATCATTTTAAAGATACCAAGGCACTCCAATAGTTTATCTATATCCTCCTGCATACACATAGTCACCATCTATGTCTAGAATAGATATGAAGCTGATGCTACTTTTCAGATGTTTTCCTTTGGTTCCAACACATATAGAGTTGAACAGGGCCCAGTGGTAGTTCTTATGCAATGTTAACTGATAGATTTTTTTTCTTATATGGTTGAACCCTATTGAATGATGGCTGAATTCCACTAAAAATCACTGTTAACACTGAGCATGCTTTTGCGGTGCCTGGTGATCCACCGTGTGCATGTGCAGTACAAGCTGATACTGTGGTGGGAGCACCCACCTTCTCACTTTCTTGGCTTCCATTCCCAACCAGCTTTCATGAACCTCAGACTTAGGGGACTCTCCTGGAGTCTAGGTTTCTTCAGTTCAGCTGCTGGACTCGGGGTGGCAAGGGGACTGACATTGGGATGCTGAATATTCCTCTCCAAGTAGAGGAAGAAGTGGAATGGATCAAATACCTTCTAAAGCCTCTCTACCCACCCCACACTGTCTCCCAAAGACACTGTATAATGGTATCATTTTGTGAGATGAATGAAAGGTTTCTTTTAAAATTTATTTTCTTGTGTCAGTGGACTTGACATTCAGTGGCAGAAAGTAATATATATCAAAACCTTCCTTGTCAAAATGACAATCATGGGGAGCACAAAGTCACATATCTCAATCTCACACAAGGATGAGCTTGGGCAGTGCTAGTAAAAGATCATTATAACAGTAACAACTACTTGAGTAGCATATGCCAGGCCTCTGGCTAAGTACTCTACACGTGATGGCATTTCATTCTCACTACAATCCTTGAGACAGCAGTGTAAGCAGAAGCAAACACACCTACAGGAGAGGGACAGGCAGTACCTTTTTAGCCAGGTTTAAATGTTTGTGTTTCACTGGTTCATGCAGAGCGATCAGTGAACCAGAGAAGTATTCATTGCAGCATCATTTGCCTGTACAGAGGACTGCACTCCTGGATCATCAGGAGCAAAGTGCACGGGCATGTGCAGCATTCTTCCATATGACGTGAAACTACTCCGGCGACATAGACTATCCTTTAGGATATCAAGAGAAGTACAAGACTTGAGTCTTCATTTGAATGGCTTTCCTGGAATCCACTCTTTAATACTTAGCATTCCCTCTGAAGACTTTTGGCTTTTAGACCCACAATATATGCATATAGAGAATATTTTACTCTTAGAAAGATGGAATCAGTGGCTTAGGCTTTCTTCCCTGAACCGAGAATTGTTCTGATTTCTATAGAGACTAAATAAGTATACAAGTAATACTTCCTCATACTTATTAGAGCAAAGGAGTTATCAGGTTGGAACCCTCTGATGTCACTGAATTCACACGTGGTGGGATGATTATTATTTCAAATGCATTCAACTTGTGAGGAAAGCGTTGCATTTCCACTTGCTGCTGATGTACAAAACAAGGTGGAGTGAGTATTGCCCAGGTCCCCCTGATGTGAGAACTGGAGCCAGATCTCAGGTACAGATCCCTCTACCTGCAAATCCCTTAAAACATTTCCAATTAAGTTGACAGAAGTCTTTCCACATGGGAACATCACTTACCTCTGCCTCATTTCTGCTAAAAGCCATTCACAAATTCAAAATTTTCTTCTGAGGTTTTGTCACAATGGATCAGTCAGCTCCACATTCTGGCCACTCACTATTAATTGGAGATGCACTGTTGGATAAAGATGCAGGGAACAAGAGCAGAGTGAGGGTGATATTTGGCACTAGGATTAAGATACTGCTTGTAAAGACATACTCTATATCACTGGCTGGGCAAACATCGCAGTTCAGTTTCCTCTTTCCAATTCCTGGGAGGAAGATTGGAAAATACTGCCATCAATGTGGGGGTCCTGAATTAAGGTCTATTCTTTGTTCTTAAGGCTGGCCCAGGCCAAGCTGTTGCAGGCATTAGTATAGTAACACAGAGGATGGGAAATCTCCCTCTCACTGGTTCCCCCTCTTCCTTTCTCTGCCTTTAAAATCAGTAGAAATATGTTGCTATTATAGAAATAAGAAACTGAGGCATGATAATGTGAAAAAACACATTATTGCTATTATTATTGAAGTAAAATTCAGCTACCATAAAATCTACCACTGTTAGGCATACATTTGTTATATTGCAGAGTTTTCAATCATCCCCAATTCTAGAATATTTTGATAAACTCTCCATTTCTATCTTTTTTTTTTTTTTGACAGGCAGAGTGGACAGTGAGAGAGAGAGACAGAGAAAAAGGTCTTCCTTTGCCATTGGTTCACCCTCCAATGGCTGCCGCGGCCAGTGTGCTGTGGCCAGTGCACCGTGCCAATCTGATGGCAGGAGCCAGGTGCTTATCCTGGTCTCCCATGGGGTGCAGGGCCCAAGCACTTGGGCCATCCTCCACTGCACTCCCTGGCCACAGCAGAGAGCTGGCCTGGAAGAGGGGCAACCGGGACAGAATCTGGTGCCCCGACCGGGACTAGAACCTGGAGTGCCAGCGCTGCAAGGTGGAGGATTAGCCTAGTGAGCCGTGGCACCGGCCTCTCCATTTCTATCTTACAATGCCTGGCATCCACTCCCCCACATTCTCTCTGGAGATCCCATTTGGAATATTTCTGGTGCATAGAATAATACATTTGACACTTTGCACCTGGCTTCTTTCACTTTGTGTAACATTTTCAAGGGTTATCCAGGTTGTAGCATGTATATGTACTTACACAGAATTCTATACATGAGGTCTCCTGTCTGTTTCCACCTGCATCCTGTTGGATGTTCAGAGGGTGTAATGCTACCTGTGAAATCTATTAGCATCTATGGATTACAGTGCTATATTCACTTAATGCTGTGGCTACTCTTTTGGTATAGCAGGTCCAGACTGCCACCCGTGATGTTTGCATCCATATGAACATTGTTTCATATACTGGCTACCCTACTGTCAATCCAACACATTTTTAATGGCCCAGGAAAGCAGGAAAGGACGACCCAAGTACGTGGATGCCTGTAACTCATTTGAAAGGCCTGGATGAAGCTCCTGGCTTCTGGCTTTTGCCTCACCCAGCCTTGCCTGTTGCAGTCATCTGGGGAATGAGCCAGCAGTTGAAAAAAATCTCTCTGTCTCTCCCTCTTGTTTTGTAACTCTGACTTTCAAATAAATTAATAAATGTTTTATGCACATAATTATAGCAGTAACAGTTTAGAATAGGCACTTCTTTGGTTGGATCAGAAACTAAAATTTGAGAAGTAGAAGCTCAGTCATTATTTGTGACCTTTTCTTGAATAAACACATTTTCATTTCTGGTGTATTACTGCTCTGCTGACGTGTTATCACCCTACAGAAGTCATTGCTGGCTCAAGTCAGAAAGAGGATCATCTGTAAAGGATGACTGTAGAAAGTGGGCTAAATGGTCAGTGTCTACAGAGGCAAATGGTACTCTCTCATTGTTTTTTTCTAAGGTTTTTCTCTTAGCCAGCTCATCAGCTTGTCCCAGAGCAATAGATCATTTCCTCCGGTATCTCTAGGCTATTATGAACTCCACCCTGTCTCTTCTTATTGCACCCACAAACAAATTCATTACCTTGAATTGGCCCTGCAGGCAGAGCTTCTTCTCCAACTTGTTGAAGTGTGTTCAGGTCCTACTACTTCTATTAGACCAGAGCCTCATGGTCATATTCTTATTCTACAGGAAGTGGTGCATCCACTCCCTATAAACCTAATCTGGGTCCATCAGGGAAGCTCCCTGGCCAGGTACACAAGTCACTGTGGAGTAAGTTCCTCTCCCAATCCTTACTGCTCAGCTCAGGTTGCCCCTTGAGGAGCTGGAGTAGATCAAACAAAAGTCAGAGTTTCTTTAAGTTTCTGATTCAGGTTATATTATTCTCACCCTCTTTTGGTGACATTTTATATAGTGTTACCTGTTATTTCTTGGTCTAATTCTTGTCCCAAAACAGGCTTTCTTTCTTTGGTGTGCTCCCTTGGCTCTTGAATCACAAGATGTACCTCAGCCCAGATGCTACAGGAGACAAAGAATAAAGACCAAGTTCATCTCTCAGTTGTAGTTCACCAGGCATATGTTACACACATCACTAGCCCCCAGGGACTCAGAGAAGTCTCATAAGGGACCTCAGAGTGGTAGAACATTGGGAGGGAAAGCTTAATGAACTGCTACTCGAATTCCATGCAGATCTCACATGGGTAGGAAAAAAAAGGGGGGGGGGGGAATGTGCATCTCTATTCCCTCTGCCATCACTGCTACAGTGGAGACCTGTGGCCAGCAGGGGGAGAGCCTACACCCAGTGTTGGACACAGGCAAGGAGCAGATGCACAAGCTTTAGTGTCAGTTGCACACCACTGGTTGTCTGGTAATGAGAGAAGAGGGGGAAAGCTGCATAAGGGAGCCTTTTACAAGCCAGTACAATTGAGTGGCAAGTGGGGCTGAAGCAATTGAGTATCTGGCATGCCTACAAACCACAGATATAACCAGAGAGAAAAGAAGTCTACAAATACCATGAACAAAGGCAACAATCAAAAAATCAAAAATAAGGATGACACTATGAGACCCCCAAAGGAACATCACAATATGTCAATATTAGAAAATGATGATGAAAAGATTAAGGAAATGCCAGAAACAGAATTCAAAAAATTAATCATTGGATTACATAGAAGCAATCAGAAGCAAATTCATGAACTAAAGAAAAAATATATGATTGAAAATTTTTCATTTGAAATTGAGGTTTTAAAGAGAAATCAAAATGAAATACAAGAAATGAAGAATTCAATAGCTCACATAAAATTTTTAGTGAAAAGTCTTAACAACAGAGTAGGTGAGGCAGAAGAAAGAATATCTAAGCTAGAACACAAATCCCTGAAAATTTTATAGTCAGACCAAAAGCAAGAAGAAATCAGAAAACAAAAATACTGTTGAAGAGCTGGAAGAAGCTCCTGGCTCCTGGCTTTGCATGAGCCAAGCTACAGCCATTATGGCCAATCAGGGAGTGAGCCAGCAGATGGAAAACCTCTCTCTCTCTCTCTTTTTCTCTCTTTCTCTCTCCCTCTCCTTATCTCTCTATGCAACTCATACTTTCAAATAAATAAATAAATCTTTAGAAAAAAGAAATGGAGTAGCCAGGACTGAAACTGGCAACCATATGGGATGGACATTGCAGGCAGTGGCTTTACTTGCTGTCACAAGGCTGGCCACTTTCAATTTTTTTTTAATTATTTATTTGAAAGGCAGACTGACAGAGCAGAGAAAGAAAGACATAGAGACAAACATCTTCCATCTACTGGTTCACTCCCCAAATGGCCACAACAGCAAGGGCTGGGCCAGGCTACAGCCAGGAACCTAGAATTCCATCCAGGTCTCCTAGATGGGTGGCAAGGGGACCAAGTATTTGGGTTGCTCTCTCATGCACATTAACAGGGAACTGGATCATAAGTGGAGCAGCTGAAACTTGAACTGGGGCTGTGATATGGGATGCTGGTGTCATAGGCAATGGTTTAACCTGGTGCACCAAAATTCCAGCCCCCATTTGCCCATGTATTTTACTCTCTGTATATCAACTTCCACAAATAATAAAAAGCATTTGATATTTGTCTTTGTGAGTCTGGGTTAATTCACTTAGCTGATGAAGTCCATTCCATCCATTTTGTTGCAAATGTCAAAATTTCATTCCTTTTTCATAGCAAGTTAAACAATTCTTATGTAAAAGTATCTCTTTTATATCCAGTAATGTTTGCAGACATCTATTTTTTTTATACTTTTCGGAAGGTTTAATTTTTTTAGAAACCATTTACTTAATGTGTATAAATTTCATGAGTATGTCTTTAGGAATACAGTGATTCTTCCTGTCATATCCACCCTCCCACCCCACTTCCCTCCCCTCTTACTACTCCTTCTCATTCCCAGATCCATTCTCCATTAAGATTCATTTTTAATTAACTTTATATACAGAAGACCAACTCTATACTAAGTAAATATTTCAACTATTTGTACACAAGAACACAATATATATAAAAAACTGAGAACAAGTTTTACAGTTGAATTTAATAGTATGACTTATTTAGGACCAAGGTCCTGCATGGGAAGTAAGTGTACAGTGACTTCGCTGTTAATATGTCTTGAAATCTGGTATGGTAATGCCTCAGGCTTTGTGTTTGTGGTATACAATTGTTTTAGCTGATCAAGGTCACCTGTGTTTCCAAATGAATTACAGCATCACTTTTTCTAGATCTGAGAACAATGATTTTGGTATTTTAATTGTTATTGAACTGAATCTGTAAATTGCTCTTGGAAGTATGGACATTTTGGTGATACTGATTCTTCCAATCCATGAGCATAGAAGTTTTTTTTTTTCCATTTTATGTGTCTTCTTTTTTTTCTTTAGTGTTTTATAATTCTCATTGCACAAGTCTTTGACATCCTATGTTTATTCCTAGGTAAATTTATTCCTAGATCTCTTTTTCCCTCTACATCTCTTTCTCTGTCACTCCCTCTTTCTCTGTCGCTCCTTCTTTCTCTGTCACTCTGCCTTTTAAATAATAATAATAATAATAATAATAAAATGGCCAACAGACATTTGAAAAAAATACTCAGGATCACAAGCCATCAGGGAGATGTAAATCAAAACCACAATGAGGTTTCAACTCACTCCAGTCAGAATGGCACTCACACAGAATTCAACAAGTAACAGATGCTGGTGAGGATGTGTGGAAAAAGGTATCCTAATTCACTGTTGCTGGGAATGTAAACTGGTGTAGCTACTGTGCAAGACAGTCTGGAGATACCTCTGAAGTCTGAATATATACCTACCACATGACCCAGCCATCCCACTCCTGGAAATTTAGCCAAACCAAAAGAAATCAACATATGAAGGTGTTATCTGTATACCCATGTCCACTGCAGCACAATTCACAGTAGCTAAGATATGGAATCAACTCAGATGTCCCTCAGCTGTTGACTGGATAAAGGAATTATGGCATATACACTATGGAGTACTACTCAGCTGTAAAAAAATGAAATCCTCTCTTTTGCAACAAAATGAATGCAAGTGGAAACCATTATACTTACTGAAATAAGCCAGTCTCAAAAAGACAGATACCATATGTTTTCCCTGATCCAAGGTAACTAATAGAGTACCTGAATTGTAATATGTTGTAGTGAAATGGACATTTTGAGGTATCTGATGATTGTTTACAGCCTTTGTCTCATCTATTGAGGAGCAGTGGGTTTTTTTTCTTCATACTATTTGTTGAACTCCTTTATTTAGGGTAGGGTTAACTTGATGATCATTAACTAAACTGAAAGTAGATCTTTATAAAAATTAAGAGTGAGAATGAGATAGGGAAGAGAAAGAATGGTTGGAGCATGGGTGGGAGGGAGGATAGGGTAGGAAGTATCACTGTGTTCCTAAATCTGTATATATTAAATACATGAAACTTGTATAACTTAAATAAAATTTTTAGAAATGTGATTCCAAATTCTGCAGAAAGAAAAAGAATACAAGAAAATAAAAAATAATAATAAAACTAGCCACCATACAGTGATACACATGAGAGCTTATGTTAACACTGATTTATAATCTTAGTGAGTTTTCCATTGATAAACTGTCAACTACCAGTCTTCTGAGTGAGCCCAAACTCCAGTAGTCTCAACTGATATAATCATAACCCCTTGAAGATTCACAGACAGTAACTGATCAACTGAGTCCAGGAAGCTCACTAAATCCACTAAGGCATGAGAGTTCAGAACAATCTATTCCTGGAGCCAACATTATGGCATAGCAGATAAAGCTACCACCTGCAGGGCTGGCATCCCACATGAGCACCTGTTCAAGTCCCAGCTGCTCCACTTCTGATTCAGCTTCTTGCTAATATGCCTGGGAGTGCTGCAAATGAGCCAAAAACTTGGGACCCTGCTACCTATGTTGGATATCCAGATGGAGTTCAAGGTTCCTGGTTTCAGATTACCTCAGCCCCAGCTATTGTTGCCATTTGGGGTATGAAACAGAGAGGGGAAAATGTCTCTCTGTCTCTTCCTCTCTCTGAATAAATAATATAATATAATAAATAAACAAATAAATAATCCTTTTACAATAATATATTATTTATATCCTTTTACAATAATATATTATTAAGTTATTGCATTTTGAAATTAGAATGTTACATCAGATAAAAGGAAAAGAAGATAATTTCGCAAATGTAGAAATAGTGTGCTCATCTCCATAGAAGGTGGGTGGAGGAGGAAGAAAAAAGAGCAGAAATAAAAGATACATGATAGTTACAGATTTATGAATTAGAGATAGACATTTGGCCTAGAGGTTAAAATATTGGTTGGGTTGCCATGTCCCATATCTGAGTATTTGGGCTCAAGTCCCAGCTTTGCCCCAGATTCAGTTTCCTGCCAATGCAGATCCTAGGAGGCAGTGGTAATGCCTCAAATAATTTGGCCCTTGCCTTCCACTTTGGTTCAGGAATTGAGCTCCTGGCTCCAAGCTTAAGCATGGCACTGCCTCAGCCATTGCATGCACTTGAGATATGGCTCAGTAGATGGGAGCTCTCTCTGTGTCTGTGTGAGTGTGCTTCTCAAGAAATAAACAAAACAATTTTGCCAATTATTACTGTTCCTATTTCACTCAAACCACCAAAAGCAGACAAGATAATAACTAAACTATATTAACCTTTCTTGAGTGACAAGGACTCTACTAGATGCCCTCTGTTAGAGTCCTTATTTTTCTTGGCTGTTTATAAATCATTGATCACAATTTTTAAGGTATGCCACTCCTTGACTTAAGGTTAAAAAAAAAGCAGGCTCAGAGAGGATAATTAATTTTCTTCATATCACACATCTAAGGGTTGACACAAACCAGTTGTGGAGTTAAGTCTTTCTAAACCCAAAGGCGGGACTAGCATTGTGGTACAGTGGGTTAAGATTCAGCCTGCTGTGCCAGCTTCCCATATAGCAGTGGTTCAAGTCCCAGCTGCTCTTCTTCCATCCAGCTCTCTGCTATGGCC